TTGATGAGGAGCTGCTGGGAATCGGGAGCTGCCTGGACCACAATGCCCTACCCTGCTCCTGGCCTTGGGAAGTTGTGAGCTGCTCATGTCCATAAGGAGGAAGGATGGCTCATGGAATTCCTTCACAAGGCAAAGTTACCATAACGGTGGATGAATACAGCTCCAACCCAACGCAGGCGTTCACGCACTACAACATCAACCAGAGCAGGTTCCAGCCTCCACACGTGCATATGTGAGTATTCCCGACCTTCCTGCCCGTGTGTCTGAGCGTGTGTCTGCCTGTGCCTGAGACGGAGAACCCGCTGCTGAAGGAGTGGGTTGAAAACTGGGAAATTTGGTTAGTCCCATGAGCTGAGAGGCAAAATGGTTATCGGATTCCTTACCTGGTGTGTCTGAGGTTTGAGAAGCCCCGCTCCATCCTCTCCTGGAGGTGACTGCCCGAGGCTCGGTGCCATCGCCTCTGGAACTCCCCTGTGCCGACTGGTGGGGCGCATGTTCTCGAGCTTGTCACTCTACTGATCTTTCTTTTAACTCGCCTGAGGGACCCATTGCTTTAAAAATTAAGCTCCCTTCCCCCAGCCCTTACACTCAGCTGCGAAATAGGCCTAATTGGGACTAATTGTCCCCCCTGATCAGTGAATCCTTTGTCCTCCTGGTTGCGAGTGGAACGTGTGCCGCATGACACATTCCATTCCACTCGCAACCTGCCGCACAAAGGAGTCGGGGTCTGCCCAGTAGTTCCTCCCAAGAAACACAATTACTCTCTTAAAACAACAGCTCTGGCCCGAACCAACAAGAGCAGGGGAAGTGGAGAGCTGAAGGCTCCTTCCCTCACCTTGTTATTCCTGGGTATTTATTGTGTGACCCGGGATCCTTGTGCCGCCCAGCACCTTGGCTCAATGGGCTGCTTGCTTAGCAGAGAGCTGAGTACCAGTTTTAACTCTGAATTTCCTTCCCATTGTTTAGTTGGGTTTGATCTTTATCGGTTATTTCTCTGAAGGTTCTTTTTCTTTTAGCATTAATAGACTGAAAAGCACGTGAAACTAAAACAAAGCCGACATCTCTTGACCTCCTGCGAGCCATTGTTAGGCAGGATTTTGAACGATGTCACACTATTGAATTTGATAAGGATTTAGCATAATAAGGGGGGGAAAGTTGTATGGTACTTCATTGCATTTTTGTTATGTAGAAGGCTGCCGGAAGAGTCACAATGTAGGAGTTCAGCACCTTCTAATAGGATTTCATGTGGTTACAATGTTCCTAAAGGCAACTTTGGGAAGGATGCTGAAGAGTGTCTGTCGTGCATGTGGCTGCCTTTTCAAGGTGAAAAAAGTTTTCATTAATTACGTTTGATTGAAGCGTTTAGACAGCCACACCTCTAATAGATAGTGTATCTCTTAAATGATATTGATTCGATGGGTATCTTAAAAGGTACTTTTCTCGTCTGGAAAAACTGTAATTGAAATAAATACTGAAACTACAAAGTTCGGTACAGTGACAGTATTTTAAGTGACAGTATTTTAAATGACTTTTAACTTTAATACTGCAACTTTCTTAAAATCAGTAATTTGATTTCGGGAGGGTGTGGCAAACTAAAGGGAGATCAAAATTTAGAAAAATTGGAAATGAATTAGTCTCACAGTGGAAGCAGAGAGAGCAATGTCGTAGTGCAGGAGGCGAGTCTGGATTCAGGTGTAGGTCTGGATAACAAACTATGGATTTTAGAAAACCTATTGAGGGGTAAAAAAAAAGACAGGATCCTACCAGGAGAGTAGAGGAAAGCATGGAAGTGAGGATGACTATGGCTGAGGGTTTGTGTGATGGTAACACACAATTATTTCTGGGGAGGAGAGCCTGGATTCTGTGGTAGCTTCAGACAGGGTCTTTATTTGTCTTCTGAGCGTTTTGTAGTGGAAACACTGTGTGTGTTTTTGAAAGAGGATGTCATCAAGTGAGAAACCTGAACAGAAAATTGGTAAAAGCAGTATTAACAAAGAAACCATGATCTGTTTACCCTTTTGTATCTCTGTTAGTGCCACATTGCTGCAGCCACTGGGATTGATTTGATTTGGTTTTACAGTCTGCTTTTTTTTTATTGTTGCTGTCTTTTAAAGTAATGCACGCATTTGGTTGTTTTTTTTTCTTTTCTAAGAGGGAGTTTGAGGAAGCTTTATTCTCTAGTGAAAAATTTATTTTAAAAATCATGGGATGATGAGAAATGAGTAAAGCAACATGGGAACTGAGTGTTGTGACAGGTATGTGAATAGCAGGGCAATATATTGCTGCAGGGCCCTGCTGCATACCATAAATCAGGAGCTGGGTGCAGCTTAAGGACAGTGTTCTTTGCTAAGGGAATTTTTTTTAGAAGTAATTTCTCTATGGATATGCATCTCCATGTGCAAAGGGAAGAACTGGGTTCATGGCACATACTTGAGCCATTTCTGGTTCTGGTATCCTTTGGGCTCAGCTCTGGTTTCACAGAGAGTAGAGGGGAGTGCATGGAATATCACCAGCACAAACCTGGTGGGTGAGGCACTCCAGGCATCAGTCTGCCTGTTCGTGGGGCACATCCTGTGCTTTCTCTCCCCCTTTCATTTTGTGCCTTTCATGTGACAGTGTCAGCTGGGATACAGTTCTCTTATCTTTACTTGTGTATTTCCACCAGCACTTCTTAGTGAATCTGTTTAAATGTCCAGCCAGGTAAACAAAAGGGGATTTGTTACAGCTCCCTTTGCTTGGGCTGGCTGGGACAGCAGTTTTGTCACTTACTTAAGCTCTGGTGGTATAACTTTTGAATCAGTTTGTCCATTCTTTTTATTTCATTTCTCTACCAATTAACATTTGAACAGCGATTCTAAAGGCAAATTTTACGATTATTTTGCATAAAGGGATATAATTTGAAATATTATTTTGTCATCTTAAGCAATGCTCCCACCTACAGGTTTCACTTACTTTCTGAAGATGTTATAAAGTGTTTGTGTTTGAATGTTTTGTACAAGTCATGTTTACTTTCTGTTAGTTTTAATTAAATGCATCACCTTAGTTCCCTGCTTTCAAGGGCAGCTGCAAAATAATAAATAACAATTATAATATGCTTCCCTTTGCTTCCTATTGATTATTATTCTTCTGAAAGTTTTCATACTTTACATTTTTTTGCCAAGAGTTGTGACTTAGAGGCAAGTGCTCCTTGCTCCTCTGGTGTGATGCTGCCACGTATTAGAAGTTTTTGTTTGTTTTGGGTTTTGTTTGTTTATTTTTGCATTTGGTTTGGCTTTTTTTGGGGTGTTTTGTTTTGTTTTTTTTTTTTAATGGGTTTTAAGCCATTTAGATTTTTGAGGTGTTCCATGTGAGGCTGGGATCAGTGGTACCAATACCAGTGAGCAGCAGTAGAATGCAGCCTGGGGACAAATCCAAATGTAAACCTGCTTACTTAGGCTCTAACCAGAGAGAAAAACCTCTCGATTTAGGTACAACACCCCATTTACTTGCAGGGGAAAAAAAAAAAAAAAGGAAGAGTGAAATAAACTTTGTGTATCTGTTTGGGCAGGCCCATCTGGTGAGGATGGGGGAGTTTTGTGAAGATAAAATAGCTGTAGCCCAAGCTGCTGCAGGCTGAGCCTTTTAGAGGAGTTCATTATCTTTCTTCTGGTCTCACCAGCATGGCTTGGTGGATTGTTTTTAGGAGTATGTACATGTTAAAACTCCTATGATTTAAATTCAGTAGTGGGGGAGTAAGAAAGATAGAGGTTTCTGTGCCAGAGCACAAGTCTTCTAAATAAGTTTATTCATACCGGGAGATACCTTGAACAATCTGTAACTATATAATTTTATTGCCTTTTCTGTACTGGAGTAAACCCCCATGTGAATATTCTCATTTTAAAACAAAGAGCATAAGCAGAGTTTTATATTAGTAGAGAAATATATATATATATATGGTTGAATAAAATATTTAAAGGTATGAGTGTGTGTAAATGTGTATATATAATAATAATAGTAAAATAAAAACAGAGCTGTGTGATCATAGAAGAAAAACTTTCAACTGTGGCAAAGCCTTACATTGTTAAAACCCAGAGATCTTATTAGACTACTAACCTGGAGAAATAGGATCTTGCTTTATTTTTTTTCTTCTTTGGGAAACGGTCCTGCTTTTAATGTGCTTTATAAACTCCCACAGAGGTTAGTGGGAAATCGTGCATTTGATTTGTATTAGTCTCAACTTTTGTTTTATATAGGGTGTGTGATATTTAGGGGGAGGGGAAAGAGTTGGCATTAATAAAATATGAACTCATTTGACATTTAGAGAACAGTGGAGTTGGTACATGTAATATTATTAGTTGAGAGAATACAGAGATTCAGTCTTAAACTAGTCAGCTATATTTAGTGTGACTGGGCAGGCTGTTTCAGCTGATAGTGATGTGACAGAGGTTTTGGTGGAAATTGTTGCTCTGGCCTTTAATAAAGACTTTTCACAAAACCATACGCAGCTCACGACCACCCAAGTTCCTTTTCACAACTTATTTTTCAAAATAAATAGATAAAAACCGCAGTGCTCTCTGAAACAATCGAGTTACATTTAAATTCTGGTAGTGAAAACACGAGTACATTGAATGAGTGCACTTACAAGCTGAGCCTTACTTTTGGATGCGGGGGTTGTTTTCTGGGATCAAGGCTCACAACCATCTTACCTTTGGGGAGGTTTAGTCTCCTTTTATCTCACTGACCTGGGTGCTGCTGAAATGCAGCAGCTCACGGGCCCGGTGTGGTCAGGAAAACAAACCTGTTTTTCTTTAGCCAAGAGCAGTAGCCTTTCAGCAGCTGCCCTGGAGCAGCTGAGCTCTCCCTGCAGTGGCCTGGTGGGGATTCCAGCAGAATACAGGGAGGACAGCTGGGGGTAAGAACCCTTACAACTGTCCCCAAATAAGCAGTGCTGCACTCAAGAAGAGGGCCATTAGCTGATTGTGTTTTCTGGTTCTTCTGCCGAGTGGCAGAGATGCTAATTTTAATCATCGTTATGAGAAGTCTTTTACTGCTGCCTGTGTCTGTCCATATGTCTGTGTGAGTGAAGATCTCTACGATCTTCCTGATTTTTACATTATTTAAAGTTACTCGTGCAAAAATCTAAGCGTCACGTAAGTTTTAAACTTAAATTTTATGTGTAAGATGAAAATAAATATTTTTTAGAGCCTTTTGAGGTACTGGAGTGGAACATGATGAAAGTTAATGCAGTGGTGA